TGTTGCAGATGATGGCTATTCTAACAGGGGTGAGGTGGAATCTTAGCGTGGTTTTAATTTGCATTTCCTTTATTGCTAGAGATGGTGAGCATTTTTTCATGTGTTTTCTGGCCATTTGAATTTCTTCTTTTGAGAAAGTTCTATTTAGTTCATGTGCCCATTTCTTTATTGGTTCATTAGTTTTGGGAGAATTTAGGTTTTTAAGTTCCCTGTATATTCTGGTTATCAGTCCTTTGTCTGATGTATAGTTGGCAAATATTTTCTCCCACTCTGTGGGTGTTCTCTTCAGTTTAGAGACCATTTCTTTTGATGAACAGAAGCTTTTTAGTTTTACGAGGTCCCATTTATCTATGCTATCTCTTAGTTGCTGTGCTGCTGGGGTTTCATTGAGAAAGTTCTTACCTATACCTACTAACTCCAGAGTATTTCCTACTCTTTCTTGTATTAACTTAAGAGTTTGGGGTTAATCAGCAACTTTTTATGACAACTTACTCTGTATCTTTGTGACAACTTATTTTGTATCTTCTGGAAGAGCTTGTCTTCATTTTTCATTTAAAAGTATTTTTTATCTTTTTATTTTAAAAACGATATCTTTAATATCATATATATATATATACACACACATACATACATACATGTTACTTGTTGAAGTTAAAACCCTTTAACTTAGAACCTTATATTTGTATGGAAAAAAAACAGAAAGAAAGCAACCTTAAAATTATTTTTGTATAAAAACAATTTATAGAAAGCCCATTTGTTAATAGACCTATGTATTATAAGAGAGAATTAAATCCCGGAATTTATTTATGACAAAATGAAACAGGCTAAGGTCATTTTTAACTACCTTTTTTTGTTTGTTTGTTTTTGCCCGGGGGGGGGGGGGGGGGGGGGGGAGGCTGCCTAACCCAGAGTGTTAATCCCTGAATTCTTGCATCCTAGTAAGACCTGATTGAAATAAGTTTGAAAACCTGTTTTTTTTAAAGTAGCAGTAGAACAGAATAATAATTTTTACATTTATATTATAATAAGAATCATCCTCAAGATGTTTACATATTTAAATGTAAAAAGACTAAGCAGTTTATAACAGAGATCTTCAAACACAAATACCCTGTTTTTTGATGTTGTTGTTACGTTGAGTATCATATTAACCTTATAGCAGCAGTTTAAGAACCATTTTGAAGATGCTTACGCATACACACACAAAAAGTTATATAAATTAATCATGCCAGAAAAAATGTCAACTTAAGTGTACATAAGATGAGCTGGAATTCTAGGAGCAAATAAATTTTGTCCAGTGCTTTAAACAAATTCACACACACACACACACACACACACACACACAATTAGCATGCACTCTCAAAAAAAGAAAAAACTTTTAAATTATACCCAGAGGGCTATCTGGTGGAATGGCGGATGATGCATTTGTTCTCTTGGGAGTCTCCCCCTTTGGATCTGAATTTTTTATTATTCATCCCTTAACCTCAGTTGTAACTATTTCCCAGGAAAAGCTCAACTCCCCGTTAACTCTTGGAGGTGTCTTACACACTTTTGCTTAGCACAGTACCTCTGCCCTACTCCCCGAACCTGAGAGACACGCCTTCATCCCAAAAGGCTGTTACTAGCGGTCTCTGGGAGGTGATCAATCTCCCCTTCTGCCTCCTGAGGCAGGCCTGAATTCGAATCCGGTTTCTTACCAGTCTGATGAGCATTGCTCCCCTCCCCTCACTGGATCCTGCACCTCACTGGGTTCATTGTGCATCTGAGGCCCTCCCCGCAACTCCCCTTGAAGATGAATCCCCCTCTGGATCAAGGTGTCCGTTGGCGCCTGGTGGGATTCTCCTCCTGGTGGAAGGGTGGGGAGGGGACACACACCCCCGTGACAAGGGAGGTGATAACTCACCGTATCTCCACAATCCTGGACAATGAGCCCCCAAGAAATGTTGCAGGAGGTTGCTAGCTGAGATATGGGACACTGAGGCAGTTTAGCAGGAATCAATGTTTATTGTGTCAGCACAGACCCACAGAACTTGTGTCCAAAGGCTGAGCTTCCAGAACAAAGGGGTCCCACCTTATATGCCATTCCAAGCAGGTTACAGAGGCAATAGAATGAAAAAACAAGGTTTAACCCATATATGGTTCCATGCAATTCTATAGGCTACTTCACCCTAGTGCTAAGTGACCTTCTTCACCTTTGAATTCCTTAGGTTTTATCTCCTGCTATGCCATCCCTTCCACCCTGCTACCTTATCAGAACTCAGGCCTAATTTGTTTTCTTCTGATCTTCCTCCCTGCTACACTGTGGTTATTTGAATGCATGACTTGGACTAGCAGACCCATTTGCAAGGTGGCCAGTCACATACTGGGCAAGTTAGTGCTGGCTGTTGGCAAGAGGCCTCAGTTCCTCCAAATGTGGACCTCCCCAGAAAGCTGTCTGTGTGTTCTTATGACATGGTGGTTAGCTTCCCACAGAGCAAGTGCTTGTGAGAAAGCAAGGTGGAAATCACAACATCTTTTATGGCTAAGCCATAAAAGTCACACACTGTCATTTCTACAATGTCTTATTGGTTTTACTAACACTCCTTTCCAATGTAGGAGAGAATTACAAAGGCATAAGAACACTCAAAAACAGGGATGTTGGGGGCTATCTTGGAAGATATTTTTTTCTAAATGGAGCTAACAGTATCCAGGCCTTTACAGGCATTTAGGATACAATAGATGGCCCAAAAAATGGAATATCAAATGGCAGGAGGGAGTCTCAGGAATGAGGAAAGTCTTCACAGAGGAAGGGACATCTGAACTGACACCTAAGGTTGAGATGTTGACCAAATGAAGGGGATGGTAGTAGATTATAGGCAGGAGACAGAGGAGATGATGCAGGAGGACGAATATGTGGAAGCCTGGGGCAAAGAGAGCAGAGCAGAGCTAGAGAAATGAAAGAAATCTGATGTCAGTAGAATGGGGAATGATGAAAGAGCACTGCATGAGAGCACACTGCCTTACAGGGAAGGGGTTTTTTATACCTCCTGTGGACAGGAAGAAGCCATGGAAGAACTCAAAGCATGAACAGGACATGGTTAGAGGTTTATTGGGTCTGGATTCCATGAAGCAATGTTCTCAGTGTTCCTTAGCATGGCCAGCTCTGGTTTGGGCGTTCTGTTCTTAGGATATTCACAAATGAATTGTTGAACTGGGTACTCAGCCCCAGAGCAAATCTTTGTTTTGCTGGAATGGCCATGTGGAAATTTCAGGAAAGCAGATTTCTGCCTTTCACCAGAAAACTTTTCCAAGGACTACAACTGTGATGGAAGTGAAGCAGACTAAATTAGGGACATTAAGGCATGGGAACCAAGAGCCAGGAGCTAAAAATAAATACTGTTAATAAGTAACTTGAAGGAAGTCTCTCACTCCCCATTAGGCAATAGCAGCTGGCCATGCTCTTAACCTTGCACTAATGATTTGCCCAGAGTTCTGGGTAAGCATGCTCTGAGTGAATATCTCAAGAAAACATCTAGTAAAACTCATTCTTGGACTAAAAGGAGACCATGTTAAAGGAAAATAAATATCTCTTAATGATGGGCTTTCTGCCCTAAATAAATATCTTCTAAAAGAAAGATTCTCAAACATGTATCATCTATGTCAATTTAAGGAGACTTTGTCAATGGGAATCCCAAAATTTATCAGTTCCAAAACATCAGATGCAATTAGAAGAGAACTGAAACAGAAAATGGTTAACATGCCAGATGGTCAAAATGAGGAAGCCTACACAGAGATAAGGACCTATAGTTCCCTAGGCTGACTTGAGCTTATAAAAATGCCTACACAAAGGACTTGGTGCTTCTCCTGTGCCCACATCTCTAGCCTATTGAGATGGGCTGTTTCCTGCTTTTCTGTTTTGTGAAATAAAGCTTTTTATAAACTCATCTAACTAGACTGTCCTTTAATTCTTTGCTGTGACAATGTCAAGAACTCAGTTTACTTCAGGGACAAAAATACAACACCTTGTGTCACAAGCTCAGCATGTGATACTGAGGTTCATGCTCTCTGGAAAGCTCCCTGGGTTTTGAATGATGCTGGTTCCCTCGACAGAAGGATGACCCCAGTCATGCTCCAGCTGCCTTTCTCCAGTTCCTCTTTTGGACTTTGTGGACTGCTCAACATTTGCAGGTTTCAGATCTGAAAGAACTGCACTCATGCAAGGGGACATTTTGATGGCACTAGACTGGGTTTTGAGGAAGCAGCCTGCTTTGTAGGTTCTCCTAGGTCGGCAAGGGAGAGTGGAGGAGGCTGATTGGGCTCCTGGGCTGGAAGCACAAAAGGAACATCTAGCTCCAGGATGGGGCCACAGACAAGGATTCTCAGAGAGGTGGTTCTTTAGATGAGGCTAAAAATTGGGGAAATTTGCTAGGACGAGCAGGGAAAGTCTTCCCAGGCAAAGGGCACAGCTTGAATAAAGAAGAGTTTGAGCAGAAGCAAGAGAAAGCACTGGATGGGCAGAGGAGCAGCAAGTGGTTGGGGTGTGTTGCCTATGTTGGGGCTGGAAGAGATTTCTTGAACTTTGCTATAAACTGAAGGGCCTGCGGAAGGAGCCCTAGAGCAGGAAAGGATGGGCTGGGGCAAACCGAGCTCAGAGCTCCAGCTCAGCCTTGGAGAGTCAGGTCCACACTTTTGGAGTTAAGGAGTTAAAGAGAGAACGGAAAAGGCCAGGGCATCAGACACCTTCAAGTATTTCTCTGGGCCTCTGTTTTCACATCATAGGTAAACTTTTGGGCTCATTTAGCGCAAAAGAACACCAAAGATTGGCGCCTCCAGCAGGGGACATTTCGGGTCGAGCGTGCCTGGGCAGATGGCTGTCAGGAGCTGGAAGCATAGACTAGGATTTAGGGGGCGGAGCTGGCAAGAACGTTGAACACTGGTGTGCGCATGCGCCTCGCCTGTGGCATGTAGAGTGTGCGCGCCCCCGAGAGGTCGACGGCCGCGCATGCGCTGTTGGTTGGCGGGAATTTCGGAAGTGGCTGCGGTGACGTAGATCGCAGACGGCGCACCTTACTTAGACGCTAGAGGAGCCGTGGCTGTGGCGCAGGGGATGCAGAGGTGATCTAGGGCCGCGGACAGAGTGACCTGTGGTCTTGTGTTTCAGGAACGGAGGCTCCGGAGATGGACGGGAGTCGCTCTGAGGTCCGGAAGTCGCAGATCTCTTCCCGGATGTGTCCCGCTCACCCCTTGATCAGTTTCTGGGTCCGGCCCAACTCAGCGCTCCCGCGTCGGACGGCGGGCACTGGGGTCTCCGGGGCGCAGCGACCCTCTGGGTGGGAGGAAACTTGGCGGGCCGCGTCCCCCTGCTGGGAGAGCTGGCGGCCTAGACCCCCTGAAAGTGGCTGGGGACGGGGAGGAGGGCCGGGGTCACAGCCTGCCACCAAAAGAGCTTGGGTCAGGTGTTTCGCCCTCTGGGATAGAGTGTGTGATAGGGCCTAGCGTCGTGGAAAGGATTGAAAGTGAAGAGGATGTAAGTAAAGTGCTTACCTGGCACAGGGCACTTAAACGACAGTTTGTGCTGTTACTAGCCAAACTTGAGTGTATTTAGTACATCATAAAGACTGGGGGGGTTTAGGTCCTTGTATGGCCCTTCTTTGCCCTGTCACCTTTTCCATATGGACTGCCAGCATCTATTCGTTTCCCTATACTGAGCACCTCCACCTGCAGATGTCTGCTGGAAGGGAGAGGCAGCATGGAAGATGAAAAGATCTCAAGTCAGTTAGTGGCTGTGTTAGACATTGGGAATTTAAGTGTAGTCTGGCTGGGGAGACAGACTTGTAAACGGGTAGTAAAGCCAGTACTAGAGACCAAGGGGTGTGGCCACTAGATCTGACAGAGAAGTGGCTTCATGTTTACACTACCTTGGGAAGGATGGATGTTTTATGGATAGAAGGACAAACGCTTGCAAAGATTCAAAAGTAGTACAGGGAATGGAGTGGCAGGAGAGGGCCTAAATGGTTAGGCTGGGACTAGCTTATGGGGAAATTTGGGAAATACTTTGGGGAAATTTCTGCAGCTGAGTAAAGACTAGATTGTGCTGGAGCAGTGTTGGATGTAGAAAAACCAGTGGAGAGGCTGATAGGCAGTGGAGCCGGAAGAGGATAGAAATGATGACACATGAACTAAACTAGTGACATGGGAATGAATGAAGGACTTGGAGAGACTTGGTAGGACAGAGAGTACTTTGGATCTGGAGAACTAAGAAGTGTAGAGGATGAGGTGGTTTTTCTAGTTTAGAAGACCAAGTAGTCCTAATGCCATTGGCTGAACTAGAAAACTAGAGACAAGTTAGACACAAAGTAACTGGGAAATAAGTTAGGGCATGTGTTAAGGGAGATGTGACTGTTTCTAGCAATAAGTTCTGTAGAAATTCAGAAAAGGGGGCAATGGTCCTGTTGCTAATTCTCTGTGGAGTAGGTGGGTGAATGTGGCTCAGGGAGGCTGGAAAGCAAAGGCCTATTCCAGGGCAGGAAAACCTCAGTGAGACTGGAGCTGAAATAGGAATTGCAGATCACCTCATTTTCCTGTTTTCAGTTCTCCACCCACGATGACTTCTGTGAGCAGATCAGAGATCTCAGAAGGTAAGCATTAAAGTGAGATTTTGTACCTTTGCCTTGGGTTCAGGCTTCTGAGCTATAGCAAAAATTTTTCCTGGCTCCTAGTTGATTTGGAATCCTATATTCGTGTATTTGAAGAAATGATTCCTTGGTGTGTCTATGATCTGGGGACATACATTTTCTTCCTTCTTTCCTTTCTTTTGGTCTTGGACTCAGACTGGTCCCAAACTCCTGGGCTCAATTAGTCCTGTTGCTTCGGGCTCCTGAGTAGCTGGGACTATAGGTATATGTCACCTCGTGGGGGCATACATTTTCTTTTCCACCTTTTTGCTCAGATAATTAGCTGTGGTAGTTTGATTTTGTATTTTGACTTTTCCATAACAAATACTAGAAGAGGAAGCAGTGACGGCCAAGACTCGTGATCATCAATTGCAATCAAGTCTCAGTTGTGTGGAAGTGTTTGCTAAATCACCTACCTCTCTGGCAATGACTCAAAGCATTTCAAAGGAAAGAAGTCACCTTGACTCTAGCCCGGAAAAGGGAGAAAGTTGTGGTGTCAGCCACCAGGAAGGACTTCAGTTGAGGTCCTTTCATTTGTCCCCTCAAGAACAATTTGTCCGTCATCAAGACAGGAGGCAGTCATGGCGGCGAGCAAGTATGAAAGAAATAAACCGACGGAAGTCACTGCCTCCCTTTCATCAGGGCATCACAGGTGGGATGCTGTGTGCATAAGACAGAGAGATTACAGCTCAAATGAGAGGCAGAGAGGAAGGACCCAAATTATAGTGCAATAGATGTGACTTGCTACTTTTTAGGTGTGTTACTTTGAACAAATCACCTCTCTGAGCCTCAGTTTCCTCTTCTATAAATTGGAGGTAATTCTACCTACCATGTGGGCATGTTCTGCATCTGTAAGTACTGATGTCACACACTTAGTAAGTGTTCAGTATTACTGCTATTTACATTATATCAGACATTCTGATTGCTAATTGTTCAACACTCAACCCTAGCTAGAATGATAGACATTTAAAGAATCCTCCCTGTGGATTTCTACCTCAGATCCTAAAATGGAACAGAGGTAGATGGGTTGATGTTTGAGTTTAGATTTTTCTAACTAGAAATGACTCAGAGAGTAGATGCACATAAAAATATCTAAAGTGGGTCTAGGGTATAGCTGAGTGCACATTTACCATGAGTGAGGCTCTAGGTCCAATCCTTGACACCATAAAGAAAAAAAAAATTAGAATGATGTCATAGTTTTTAAGGATGCCATATCTGAATGTGATTTGTGTAATTTTTTCTCTGCAAATTTACAATGGTTAACTTCCTCTCAGCATCAAAGTGCAGGATGTGAGGTGGAAAATCTAGTGCAATCTTGAGTTTAAACTCCTTTGCCTTAAGGTTCTCAGTAAACTGAGGGGTGAAGTAATGCCTATCTCTCAGGTTGTGGGAGGACCAAATGAATCAATAGATAATGTAATAAGTAAGCCCTTAAATGTTAATTGTTGTGGTTACTTTCAAGGGCTCATTGCACTTCCAGGTGGTCTAATGTGCAGAAGGAAATCTGAGTAAAAGCAGTCATTAGCACATCAGAAAATTGCTGCCACAGTGCTTATGTGCTTGACTTCCTAGATGTGCCACGAAAGCATTAGTAACCTCCCTGAGATTAGCCCTACCTTCCTCTCTATTCCAGAGCATTTAGACTTAACAGGAAATCACCAGTGTAGTAAAATTGCTTGTTTTCTAGTTATTCTGGTCTCCTACCAGGTTTCCTTGGTTATAGGCAGGAAGAGTCCTGTTTTTCTTGACTAACAGCAGTAAGAATTAAGAGACAAGAGTACTTTAAAAACACAGTAGCCAGCTGAAGTGAAGCTGGAGGGCAAAAAGACGTGTAGCTCTCATACTTTTCAAAACAAACTGCCTTTGCTATGTAATAGTTGCTTGTAGAGGGACATAATTGAAAAAATAATATCTCCATCTTATAGCCACTTGAGGATTCAGTGGGAAAAGTATATAAAATGCCCACTCAATTCATTCTCATTATTCACCGTGTGACCTTGAGCAAGTTACGTTACCCAGCCTTCTGCCTTTTGGTTGTCAAAATAGAACTGATAAGATTCTTGCCTCAAAATTTTATGAGGTGTGTATAGCATTGAAGAAAATGCCTTTTATGTAACAAGTGTTCAACAAGCTTTACCTATTAATATGCATTAGGTCATTACAGAGAGGCAGCATGTTACTAGTGAGAAAAATAGTTCTGGGTGACAAACTTGGGCTGACATCATGGTGCCTTTAGTCTCTGGCCTCAAATAATTTCCCCTCTTAGCTTTAGATTCCCTATCTGTAAAATGGAGCTCATAGAATTTGTAAGAAGACTCTTCAGACAGTGTATTTAAAGCACATTGCAGTGTCTGCTCAAATGTTCTCATCCCCTTTCTTCAAATGATGAATACAAATCACAGAAAGCTAAATTATTTTTTGTCTACCTTGTTTAAACAAGATTTTAATGCAATGCATAAAAGGATTCTAATAACATTTTTAAAAGTTTGGATGCACAAAAAGGTTAACTTCATTCCCCAGTGATCCAGAAAAATTCAGATTCTCTTTTTAATCAGAGAATGCTGCTTCTTGCTTAAGCTGGATTGAGTACATCAAGGGGGAGGAAGTTTTTCAGTTTTGTTGCTTGGTTAACTGTGTAAGTTTGCAGTTTCTTAAATGTGATGTTTTATGTCAGAGCTCAGCAAGTCCATCGGTGTCAATTTAGCAGAAAGCAAACGGCTTGGTGCTCTCCTGTTTTCCAGTTTCCAGGTGAGGTTGTTGGGACTGGGAAATGCTTTCCTTGTTGTTGCTTACTGTTACTTTGACAACTTCAAAGAGATACTAATGCTATGTGATGAACTGATTAAAAGATGAGGGGTTTTTTTTGGGGGGTGGTGATACTGGGGTTGAACTCAGGACCTCAAGTTTGCTAGGCAGTTGCTCTACCGCTTGAGCCACACCTCCAGCACATGATTCATTTAAAAGTCATATTTAATCCCAGCAGCTGAGTTCTCTTTGGACTAGGCTTTCTACTAATCTCAGAGTGACTGCTGTTGCTAACTAAACAGCTAACAGATTTCCCCAGTAGAGCATCTTCTGTGCATGGACAGCAAGTGATGGTAAACCATCATATGCTAAACCAATATATGATATATGTATGTTACATAGTTTTTTTTAAGTCAGACTGTTTCACGGCTCATGGTGCTTATAGCAGTTTAGATAAGTAATTTATGTGAATTAAATGACCATTTTTTTTCCTGAGTTAAAAATCAAAATGGATAGAGTAACCAAGAGTTTTTCCTCATCTATTTATTTGTTTAGGTGAAAAGTCTTAGGTGAAAAAATTAAATCATGTTTAGTTTTACGTTCAGTAAACAGCATAAGTTAGGTGAACTGGGACTGACCTGGAAAATTTTGGTTGGTGTACTGAAAATGTTTCTTTATTTAGTTCTCTGTTCAGAAACTTGAACCTTTCCTAAAGGACACCAAGGGCTTCAATCTTGAAAGTTTTAGAGAGAAAGGTAAGTTACTAAGAATAGACAAGTGTACTTTGACCCTGGCTTGTACCCCTCTTGTGGTCAGCCAAAGCCTCATTTGCAGGATCCCCATTTATAGGAGCTGCTACATCATAAAACCAGACTTTTTTTTTTTAATTGGATAATAATAACAATGTGAGGGTGATTTAAAAAAAAGTATATATGATTGTGAAGTTCAGGAGAAAGTGAAAAGTAATCCTTCTACCCCAACCCTTCATCTCAGCAACTATGGCCACCAGTCCCTTGTGCATCCTTGCAGAGATACTGCTTTTCCAAATGCTCATTAGAATTTTGAGGAGATACTCTGTGTTCTTCTATACTCTGGCTTTTCTGGGTGCTGGGGATCAAGCCCAGGGGCTTAATGCACACCAAGTAAGCATTTTACCTACCACTGAGCTATTACCCCCCCCCAGGTTAAACTTGGCTTTTTTTTTTTTATCTACTAATTTTCAATTGTTTGTTTATTCATTCATTGGTGGTATTGGGGTTTGAGCTCAGGGCCTCATGCTTGCTGGGTAGGTACTCTACCACTTTAGCCCCAACCCCAGCCCTGTTTTGCTTTTGGTTACTTTTGAGATAGGGTCTTGCATTTATGCCCAGGCCTGTCTGGACCACGATCCTCCTTATTTATACTTTTCTTATAGCTGGGATGACAGACATGTGGGGTCTCGTACCTTTTGCCTGGGCTGTCCTGAAACCATGATCCTCTCCATCTCTATCTCTCTTGTAGCTCTGATTATAGGTGTGAGCCACTGTGCTGGACTTAACCTAATAATTTATCACATATATGGAGCTGCCTTGACATTTTTGTAGCCATATAATATTCCCTTATATAAATAAACTATATTTGATTTAACTGGTTCTTTTACTGATGGGCTGTTAGGGTTTTTTGTTTTTTGTTTTTTTTTTTAGTTTTTGCTATTATGATGAATAGTGTAGTGAGCACTTTTTTTTTTACACAAGACTTTTAGTTTTAATTTGCAAATAAAATTAAGATAAATTCCAAAATCAGAACTAACTAGGTCAAATAAAATGATAGAAATTACCAGATTGCCTTCAGAGATTGTATCAGTTTATTATCTCACCAGCAATATGTGCAACTACCTGTTTTTTCATTCTTACCAACAGTTTTTATCTAACTTTAACATTTTCTTAGTATTTGATAGGTGATAGAAGATATTTTATAGTTTTAATCTGTGTTTCTTTTATTTTTGAGGAAGGTAAGCTGTTTTAGAGTCATTTATACTTTATTTTTTGTGTAGTGTCTTCTTTCTTTTTTATTTATTTTTTTGAAACAGGGTCTCACTCTGTAGCCCAGGCTGGTTGGAACTCACTATGTAGCCTAGCCTGGCCTTAAAAACTGGGATATTTGCTCTTTTGTATAAATTTATAGGAACTCTTTATATAATAAAGAATTAGCATTTCACTGTGATAAAAGTTATAAATATTCTCGCCTAGGAACCAGTTTTTTTTTTTTAATTTTTATTTTATTCATATGTGCATACAATGTTTGGGTCATTTCTCCCCCCTTCCCCCTGCTGCTACCCGGCAGAAACTATTTTGCCCTTATTTCTAATTTTGTTGAAGAGAGAGAGCAATAATAGGAAGGAATAAGGGTTTTTGCTAGTTGAGATAAGGATAGCTATACAGGGAGTTGACTCACATTGATTTCCTGTGCGTGTGTGTTACCTTCTAAGTTAATTCTTCTTGAACTAACCTTTCCTCTAGTTCCTGGTCCCCTTCTCCTATTGGCCTCAGTTGCTTTAAAGTATCTGCTTTAGTTTCTCTGCGTTGAGGGCAACAAATGCTATCTAGTTTTTTAGGTATCTTACCTATCCCCATACCTCCCTTGTGTGCTCTCGCTTTATCATGTGATCAAAGTCCAATCCCCTTGTGTTTGCCCTTGATCTAATGTCCGCCTATGAGGGAGAACATACGATTTTTGGTCTTTTGGGCCAGGCTAACCTCGCTCAGAATGATGTTCTCCAATTCCATCCATTTACCTGCGAATGATAACATTTCATTCTCTTCATGGCTGCATAAAATTCCATTGTGTATAAATACCACATTTTCTTCATCCATTCATCAGTAGTGGGGCATCTTGGCTGTTTCCATAACTAGGAACCAGTTTTTCAACTTTCTAGGAAATAGCTGTTCTAATAGTGTTAACTACACAGTTATCTATAGTAATACTCAAAATCATCCATGTCAGATAACCTAGAAAAACTATGAACTCAGGCTTTCTTGCCAGCTGAAATTGTTTATGTTAGAAGTGCACATCATTGTAGAGTAGGTATGCATGGGTTATTTTGATAGCTAATTAACGTAATGTTCCCACCTACATTCTTCACCTGAATATAATAGCGGACTTTTTCAATCCTGTTGGAGAATGTTTTCACCTGATCCCCACATACATTTATTTGTTTTTTTTGCAGTACTGGAGTTTGAATTCAGGACCTAATGCTTGCTAAGCAGACATTCTACCATTTCAGCCAAGCCCCCAGCCTCAGTCCCATAATTTTTCATTTGCTTTCAGTATTTGTTACATTCTTGCCTATTGCCTGGCTTCTGTAATGTTTTCCCTTACAGTGCCAACAGTTCACATCTCTTAAAAAAATGGTGTAGATATACCTTTTTAACTAAAAAAATGGTGTAGATATACCTTTTTAACTGCCTTTTTCACTAGTCAAGTATAAAACCAATTATAAGTTCTTTACTAGAGAAAGAAGATAAATCTTTCTGCACACCTACACCACTCTTTTGGGTGAATGGGATTCCAGAATGTCATGGGGAAACCAGCTGTTCATTGTGAAAATTTGTATTTTTAATTTTACAACATAAATTTGTTCTCCTTAGCATCTTCTCTTTCTGAAGAATTGAAGCATTTTACAGACAGACTGGAAAGTGATGGAACTCTACAAAAATGTTTTGAAGAATCAAAAGAGTAAGAACAATTCCTCTTCTATTCTAAATTATGACTGAATTAAGACTTCATTATAATTAAATAGTTGTTTATCTGATTGATAAACATATTTCCAACATCTTACGTACAAAGCTGTTTTTAGGTACTAATAATAAATTAGTCAATGTCCCTCTTGTTATACATTGTACTAGAGGAAACAGTCAAATACAGAAATTATAGTTTCAGATAGTGATAATCTAGGAATTCAGCAAATATGACAGTGACTGGGGGGGGTTTGAGAAATTTGAGGTAGATTGTTCAGAGAAGATCCTTAATGATTTGGCCTTTGGACTGAGACTTGGTAAGAAGGAACAGCCATGGAAAGATGAGGGGAAAGCATTATTTAGATCTTTGCTAGTCCTATTAGGTGAGAGAAGTTCATGTTCTTTGGCCTTTGGTAGGCAAGAATATTAGCGGAAATTTTAAACTTCGACCCCTTAAATTGGTAGTTCTTCAGGAGGAGGGCTGTCATCCTCAACCCCCTATCTCTGTCCTGCAACAAATCATACATTTGGTCTTACACCATGAGCTTTGTTTGCACTTCATGAAGGTCTGCTTTTCCATAGGTCCTTAGGATTGACTTTTCTAATCAGGAAATATTTATTAGCACAACATTGCATCTCTTTAATGGACTGTATTTAAATACCGGCTGCTACATCTCAGCCAGAGATGGTATAGGCTGTGTCATAGGCCTTGGTGAAAAACAGGAATTGTGGCATTACTAATTTGTTTTTGCCAGGTAGAGCCCCAAGTACATGTGAGATATTTTGGTATTTTCAGTGCCTCCTTTTCTACTAAAATTAATCATCCAGCTGAGTTGGGCTGTTGCTTCACTGTAGGAGTCCAAGTTGGTGAGCTGGGTGGAGCCAGAACATAGGCAGCCCTAAGTGCCATGTTAAGGAGTTTTGGCTTTTTATCTGTATGCAAGGAAAAAAAAGTTAAAGGACATTTTTTGGAAGACAAATCTGGCCATGGTGTGACTTGGAATTGATAAAAGAAATGGAACATAAAGAGATCACTTAGAAAGCCTTTATTTATTAGAAAAGTGCAATAGAGTCCAAGAATAAATACTTGTTGAAAGCTAAAGTTATAAACATGTTTTATTGCCACTGAAATTAAGTAAGACATATTAAATGCAAGTATATCTTGAAAGACTCATATTCATTTCATCTATATTCAGAAAAGCATCAGATTTTCCTCTGGAAACATCAGTGGCTGAGATGAAGGAGTATATAACCAAGTAAGTGAAAATGAGTGAACCTTTGTTGGGAAATTTAAGTTTTCTCTCTGGGAAAAATGTCTTGTAAACATATGCTCAGCATTAGTATATCAGCACTAGGAGTTAATAGGCTGTGAACAGAGTGTACTGATGGCCAGTTTCATAGGATGGAATCTAGAGAATAGAATGCTAATTTCATTTTAAGACTTGTATTTTGTTGGATTAAATTAGTATTTTTTGAGTCATTCCCACCTTCTAATCCTTTAATGACCTTTTTATTCACATTTTGTAACCAGATCATATGGCTAATGTTCTTATTTTTGCCTCAAGTGATTCAGAATAGATGATCAAAAGCTAACTGGATTTTACCCTCCAATTCTGTAGGTTTTCTTTAGAAAGTCAGACTTGGGATCAGCTTTTGCTGCATTACCAGAAGGAGGCACTACCAGAAGAGATGTCCAGGTTAGTTCTTGAACTGGAAAGAAGTTACCTTTTTACCTTGTGGAATTTAATTTGAGTTTATTTCAGGTCTGTTAGTACAAATTGAATGATGAATCCTTTCTCACAGTTCAGTCAACTCCTTAAGACTATAAAGCGTATCTTAATACTTGGACCATAAATGGAGAGTGAGTTTGAAAGAAGAGAGAGTTGGCATCACTATTTTCAGTCCAAGAACAGAGCTACCTCTGTCTGCTGTGTCCTTGGCTGCCATTTCACATCCTCACAGAGGCAGGCTTATTGTGCCTTGCACCTGGCCTTTGAGCTGCAGGTATAGAGAGACCCCTGGAGATAGAAGAGAATAGAATGGTGGAGGAGTGTATAAGGCAAGAGAAGATCTTTACCTGGATTGTGAAGGCAGAGGAAAGTGGGAAAGTACTGGATAGTTTGGTTTAGTTGAGCATCTGAGCCATTTTTTGTTGTTGTTTTTTAAGTCAGGGTCTCACTAGGCATCTCAAGCTGGCCTTGAACTCATGATCTTCCTGCCTCAGGCTCTTGAGTGCTAGGATTATAGGCATACACCATGACGCCCAACTCTAAGCTGGTATTTTGCTTTATTTTTTTGTTTCTTTTTATTTATTTATTTTTTGGGGGCAGTCCTACTCTACCATTTGACCCATTCCCCCAGCCCTTCATTTTGTTTTTTTGAGGCAGAGTCTCACTACGTAAGCTGGCTTAGAACTTGGTGTAGCAGAGCCTGGCCTTGAACTTGTGATGCTTTGCCTCAGTCTCTCAAGTACTAGGATTACATTTGTGCACTACCACACCTGGCTCAGCCAGTATTTTTAAGCTTTTTTCCCAACCGAATCTTAGATAGAAAACCAACTATAAAATGTTAGCTAACCCCTAATTACAGAAGCTTTCTGTCAGTAGCAAAGTTTTGAGAAACACGATATGAAAAACTCTAATCCAGTGATGGTTTTCCGTTACTTTATTTGCCACATACATACTCTATATGAAGGTCAAAGCTTATAGCATAAGGAACCGGGCACTGGTGCCTCACAAGCTACTTGGGAGGCTGAGATTGGGAGGAGGATATAGGTTCAAGACCAGCCAAAGCAAATAGTTTGCAAGAACCCTTCTCCAAAATAACCAGACCAAAATGGACTGGAGACATGGCTCAAGTAAGTGCAAAGCCCTAGGGTAAATAGAAGAATTTTGATTCAGCCATGTAAGAGTTTCTTTCCAGAGCTAATCTTTTACATCTTGTCCAGAAAAAAATTATAAAATTCCTTGAAAGCTCTTGTTTTGTTTTGTTTTTAGAGGACCAACTGAAACTAAAATCTCAGAAGTCAAAGTGGATCATCCAACATATCTTGGGTCTTCCCAGAGCAAAGTTCTTAACACAAAGCCTGACTACCAGAAAATATTGCAGAACCAGAACAAAGTCTTTGATTGTATGGAGTTGGTGGTATGTTGCTACAGGTTTATTTGGTTGAGCTGTGTAGCTTTGCTATCTTGTCATCTTTGTTAGTCAGCTTTCCGTTGCTGTGACAGAGTTCTAACATAATCAACTGATGAGGAAAGCTTTATTTTGGCTCACATTTTCTTTTTTTGATGATCCTGGGGCTTGAACTCAGGGCCTCACTCTTGCTAGGCAGGAACTCTGCCACTTCAGCCACTCCGCCAGCCTTTTTTTATGTTGAGTATTTTTTGAGATAGGGTTTCTTGAACTATTTGCCCATGCTGGTTTCAAACTCTCCTGCTCTCTGCTTCCCAAGTAGCTAGGATTATAGGCGTGAGCCATTGGCACCTGGGTTGGCTCATATTTTCACAAGTTTCAGTTCATGGTTGTTTGGTCATGTTGTTTTGGGCCTGAGGCCACTCACAGTATGTCATGGTGGAACATGATGGTGGCTACCCTCATGAGGCTGAGAAGCAAAAAGAAAGAAAAGGAGGTCAGTGTCCTAAAATCCCCTTTAGGGGCACACACCCAGTGACTTACTTCCTAAATGTTCTACCTCCTCCCAATAGTGCCACTAGTGGTTGACCAAGCCTTTCGCATATGAGCTTGTGGAGGACGTTCAAGTTTCACACTACAGCTTTATCTTTGGAAATTAAAATATCTGGAGAGTGTATGTAAGAAGAATATTTAATTCCACTTTGGGAAAAACATGGAAAGGCAGTGTAAGGGGTATAGAGAATACAGAGAGGGCCACAGGTTGCTATTTTATGTATAGCAATTTGTTTTTTTTTTAATATTTTCTTTTATTGTTTTTACATTTACTTTCATGTGTATACATTGTTTGGGCCACCTCTCCCTTCCTCCTGCCCCTACTCCCCATAGAGCAGTTCTTGAAGGTCCTGCCAGGTGCCAACTTTACAGCATCTTGAAGGAATGAGGAGGTAAGCCATGAGGACATCAGTCCAGGTATCAATAGGAAACAGACGACATTGGAAATAAGATAATTCAGGAATTTTCAAAGCTTTATTTTCAGGGGCTGTGTGTAAAGGTGACAAGAACTACAGGGACTAGTGATGTAACTATGGGTTTGCTCAGCGCTCTTATTATCCCATGGCCTGGAGGAAGGAGCCATTACTGTGACATCTGGGGCAAGAGTCACATAGTTGCTGTTCTGAGAGAACACTTGAGGGATGCAGCTAGCTGAACATGACCTTTCTGGGAACAAGTCTGGGTAATAAATACCTTGGCCTCAGTAAGCTTCCTCCCCCTTTCTTCCTAGGGCTCTTGTCAGACCTCACCCAACCAGGGCATTCTGTTAATAGAGGTCATGGAGTCAGCCTCCTGGGGCATAGAGCAGGCTGGAAAAAAGTGGAGTGTGGTTCAGGAAGCGCCAACAGAGAATGTTTGGCATAAGCATTCTAGGCTGAAAGAGCAACAGGCTCAAAGCTCCTGGACAGCCTACCTGCCTAGCAGGTTTGAGGAACATCAAAGAGGCCCTGGAGCCCTGCAGCTCATGGCTGTCTTCTGTCTGCAGATGGATGAGCTGCAAGGATCAGTGAAGCAGCTACAAGCCTTTATGGATGAAAGTACCCAGTGCCTCCAGAAGGTGTCAGTACAGCTTGGTAAGTGTGCTTGAGGAGACACACTTCTACATCTGATAATCTTTGGGATGCAAACTGTCCTTCCAAGCACATGGTCCTGAGGGTGATACTTCTGTCACACGATTTGTTCCCCCCATACAATAAGTATGTTGATGGGGGAGTTTCTGGATATGTAAATTCCACAGAAACCTCTCATGAACTGTGTTGTGGTAAATCCAAGACAAAAAATACCCACTGCTTTTAACCTCTTTGCTTTTCAAGAATCCACAAAGTAACACTGACATTACTCCTTGATAGCTTTTCCTGACCTCCTCTGGTCCTAAATTATTTGCTATACACACCTCCATTTTCTTATGGTAATGTGGATATAGTGTACCTGGCTTTTCTACAGCTAGCTCCCTGAGGATAGAGACCCTATATTTGTCACTGTATTGCCCTTCACTATCTGGCTCAGTTTCCATACATTAAGTTTCCAATAAATTTTATGTGAATTTAACTGAAATGTATTTTTTGGCTTCTTTGCAGAGAAGAGAAGCATGCAACAATCAGATTCTTCACCTGCTAGAAAACTGCTCAGACTTCACCTACAGAGCCCCCCTTCCACACAGTGCTCTGGATCTTGTCAGTGATCTTACCCAGCCTTTCTGCCATGAGGTGATCAGAGGAGAACACTGAGAAGAATGCCCCAGCATGTGGTGACCGTGTAGAGTCTGAGCTGGGAAGTTCTGTCTCATTGCCCATGTGCATAGCTGACTGACTGCAGAGCACTTTGATGTTTACTGAGTGATGGAATTTATGAATCCAAAAGATACTGTAGAGATACTTTTTCCAGAAATGTATAAAATGCTTGAAACTTTCTTTTTGAAATGATCTTCAGAACCAGTGGCCCATTGTTTTAAATATCCTTCATGATCAGAAATCTTCATCTTGTGAAGATGTTTTCCAGGTTTTGAAACAAACCAAAGTCATCTAGGACCAAGTTTAATGAAACATTTTAGGGATCACATTAGGTTCTGGCCATAAAAGCATGAGACTGGTTTTCTAGGTGATTTTAGGTCCAGGAGCATTGAGCATTGTTTACTCATTGGAAATCATTGGGATACATCAAAATCAGGTCTCATTTTTATGACTTGGCTGGCCTTGACCATGATCCTGCTACTTATGTTTCCTGCCTGAGAGGACAGGTGTGTACCACCACACCAGCTTGATTGATTGAGATGGGGTCTCACTAATGTTTTGCCCTGGCTGGCCTTGAACCTTGATCTTCCTATCTCTGTCTTTTGAGTAACTGGGATTATAGACATACACCACTACACTTGGCCCCTTAGATTGCTTTTATTTTTTTATAGTACTGGAAATCAAACCCAGGGCCTTGCACATGCTAGGTGAGTGTTCTGCCGCTGAGATGCACTGCAGCCCCAGAACTTTATTTTTCAAAAGTCACTCTAGTTGCTTTGTGGGTAGTAAAAGCAAGCAAGGTGTGGATCTGCAAGAACAGTTAATCTCCCTCTGTAGTTGAGGTAAGAAATGACAGCTTGTCTAGGTTAATGTTAAGTGGATGGGGAAGGGGCACGGCCTACATTGTTCTTAATGTCTGGATCATAGTAAGCCTGAAAACTATGTATTAAAAACCCACCCTACCATTTCTGGGACTGAGAAAAAGTTATTTAACTTCTTGTATCTGTAAGGTTAGAAGAATGATGGAATTTATATTGCAAGGATGCTATAAGGCTTAGAATGGTGGTATCAGTTTGCTGCTGAGGCTGATGGCTTAAACAAGTGGGTGGAAGTGAGATGGGAACGCTGACCGTTCAATCAGACATAACAGGTAGACAATTCAGCCGGTCTCATACACACAGGTGGAGAACTGGGCAGTAAAGTCTTGGATTAGAGAGAAAATTTGAGAGTTATGTGTAATTATTGAAGATGAGAATGGATGAAATTCAACAGAATAGAGCAAATAGGGACATTTCAATCAATCTCAAGGAATCCCAGCATTTGTCAGGAATGGTGTTAAGTGCCTACTGTTTCAGAGGCAGAGAGAAAACAGTGTAAAGCATGGAGGGAGTCTTACTGAGTTTCCTCACCTGTAAAGTGGGGATAGAATCACCTCTTCAGGGGGATTATACCTTCCCTCAGTTTATTACATCATATTGCATATTTTGTTTATTAAATAAATATTTGTTCAAACTTGAGAATAGAGGTGTGTTTGGTGTCTTAACAGCTAAATACGATAGAACATAGAAAAATAATACCGAGGTCCAAGCATCATTTAATTCTTATTTATCTCTATGGATGAGGCACTCAGGTGCGGAGAGACCTAATTAACCAAGGACATATAGATGGTAGTGGAGGGTGAGCTAAAAACCAACCTGGCACTCAGTAAATGTTAACGAAGAAACATAAATTGTATAATAAAGGGCTGTGCTTAATTGTTTTCCTCTACCCAAATTTCGTTCAGGAATTGTGTCTGATGAATTACAGTATTATCACCGTCCTTTAAGATGTTTGGCTGTTTGTTACATTTACCCTGAGAATAATCAGTGATACTTAGTGATCAATTAATACTTAGATTAATAAATAAGCTCCGTAGGGGAAGATACTATGTTATGTAAATTTGGTGTTGAATTTTTGAGTCGTTATGCTTAATATGTGCAATCACTGTGGGAAGGGATGAGTGTGAATCAGGAGCCCTGAGTTGTAATTCTAGTTCTGAAGTTATTGTGTTCATTTCTGAAAATTTCACTGAGCTCCTCGCAGGTGCCATGCGCTGGGCTGGGTGCATGTGATCTCGAATGTGGCTTTCAGCGTCTTGATAGGAGGCTGCCCTATTAAGACCCTTGGGGCTTCCTAAAGACGAAACTCAGAGGAAGGGGAGGAGGCTGTGCAGAGTGAGCACTCACTACGCCCCCTTCCTGGCAGCTCTAGGGCCGAGATTATCCTCCCAGAATACTCCGCGGCAAGAAAGACTACATCCAAGATGGCGCCGCCAACCCCTCCCAGCCCGATCACCACCACGGTAGTTTCCGAGGCGCTTGGGTGCGGTGCGCATGCGCGGTCTCGTGTCCCCAGTGCGCCTGCGCTCTCGCAGCGCCTCTCCCGCCCCTCGCCTCTACTGCTGCTGCCGCCGCCGCCACTGTTGCTGTTGTGCTGACTGCTGGCGCCTCAGGTGAGTGAGCGCCTCAGCCCAGCCTGCTGGGGGCGCGCGGCGCGGCTTGCGGGGGCGTCGCTCCTCCCTGAGTTCTCGACCTGGTCCCCGAGCCCCGGGTCCGAGCTGCCAGGCGCCTCCGGAGCCCTGGCGCCCTGTGCCCCGCCAGCTGGACCTGGGTCTGCCCGTCCTCCCTCGGTCGCTCCCCGCGCCTGCCCTCCAGGCCACAGAGTGCAGGCGGCGGGGTCGAACCATCCCCCGGCGCGGACCCCCTCGGTCCCAGGGACCGCCTGCAGGCCTCACCCCGCTTTCCTGCTCGCTCTCTTCAGGCGGCGGAGCTCGGCGATCCTCGGGCCGGGCATCCGTCCGCCTCGACCGCCCCGCAGCCCCGGGGACTTACAAGAGGGGGCCTGAACGTGCCGTGCCGCTCCGGAACCCCAGAAGGCACCCTCTGTTGGGGAAGGGGCTGCTTAGCCCCCACTTCTCAGCCGAGGAAACTGAGGCACGGAGCGGTGGAATGGCGTGTCCAAGGTCACGGGCTGACAAGTGGCATGGCCAGTACTGGAACTCCGGGGCTTGGGCTCTCACGGCTAGTGCTGTTCGAATTTGAGCTCCTGCCTCTAAAAATTCTTTTAAATACACTTGTCATCTCCAGAGTTGCCCTTAATCGTCATGAAAATGGGCTGCCAATGGAGTGTCTTCTTGTCAGAGCACAATTGAGGAGTTACGATATTAATAATAGCGATATTAATAAGAGCTGGCGTTCATCCAGCGCTTGCGTGTCAGGGATCTTGCAAAGCGTTTTATTGCGATCATCTCACCTAGTACCTCAGCGTCCCCCAGTCCAGTGCTTCCCCCTCCCTTCTTTCTCATGGAGGATATTTTCTGCAGCGCTCGCCTCCCTGTCATACATAGACTAGCAGTCTCATGGCTCAGGAAGCAGGGAAGCTCTCCCTGGTGGCTTACTGGCAGAAAGTAAGCTTCACCTGCCTACTTCCACATTTCCTCCCCAGCCTGACCCCCGGAGGGTATAATTATTATATCTTCTTTTCCTAGCTGCCAGGAGACCATTTCTGGGCTGGATGGGCTGGTTAGACTTGGAGGTGACAGAGCAGATTTAGCCAGCACTCACCTCATTTTGGGACTTTCTGGCTCTGCTCCAACACTGGTCTTGAATATTTCGATGTTTAAGAGAAAAGGTCATTGACACAGTGGTGCTGAATCTAAGAAGCTTGCTTTGATTTGAAGTCTCAAATAACAGCTATAAAAATATGTTAATGTTTTTATAATAACTTGCTCATACTGCTTTTTTCTCCCTAGGCAAGTCCTCCTCCACACTTCAAAGGCTCCACTAAATTACCCCCTTCTCTATGAAGCCTTCCCTCCTTGATTTTTTCCAATTGGAATTAAACACACACACAGCAGGGTAGAGGCCTTGTCTTATCCCTTAGAGGTCGGGGACCATCTTTGCAGCCCCAAATGCCTGGCTCATAGTAGACCCTTAGAAAAAAACTCAGCGAATTTCCACTGCTCATTTTCGTTACTCAAAGGGTGATGTTCTTTTGCTGCCCTTCTGGTCATCCTCTTGCCCTTCAATTTCTCTTTCCCTCCTCCCTTTTTTATTTTTCCTTTTCCTGTGTCTCCTCATTCACAATACAGAACAGGCACAGGGCCTGGGCTGAGGCATATATGGGGTAAGTTTACTTTTCCTCCTCTTTTTACACACTCAGTGTAAGAACACAGCCTGTGGTAAGCACCAGGAGGCCTGTCCCTCCCTTTAGATTCAGCTTTTAATCATCACCCACCACTCACAGGCCTCTCAGTCCACTCTGTTTTTTCTGAAAATTTGCACATAAAATGTCTTGCATCAAGAAGCCTGTTTATTCCAAACAGTGGATGCTGCTTAAGCCTACAGGGAAGTTTTTATGTGCATGTTGCAGTAGTGTGGCCAGAGGCTTATGGTTGTTTAGTCTATCCTTAAGTGCATGTGAGATCCATTTTTACATTCTTTGCCTTATGTGGCTGACTGCCGCAGATGGTAACAGAGTGATCACAGTTTTACTGTGTACCAATACAGGATATTTATAATAGTGACTATTGAAAAGGGCCTTTGGGAGGCAGCAGATTATGTACACAGTTTCTCCACATAAATGAAGCTTCTTAAAGAATAGGATTTAGGGAGTTGGAAACTTCACTTTTTACTTTATACCTTTCTATGTTATTTTTTGAATTATGCACATACTTGTTTTGTATTTTATTAATTTATTTTGGCTGCACTGAAGTTTGAACTTAGGGCCTCTTGCTTGCTAGGCAGGTGCTCTACCACTTGAGCCACTCCACCAGCCCCTGGTTTTATATTTTAAAAAGGAAAGAAAAAGGGTTTGTGGAGTGGATCAAGTGGTGGTGCGCCTGCCTAGCAAGCATGAGGCCCTGAGTTCAAGCCCCGTGCTGTTCTCTTCCCCCCAAAAAAGGAAAGAAAAGTCTTTTTAAAGACTTGTTAATAGGCTAAAATATTAATATTAATGGATTAAAAATATTTTTAGTGTCTGCTCTATGCCAGATGCTAATAGCTTTTGGAAATACAAAGCCTCTGCTAAAGCTTGCTGTCTGATGACAGAGAGGGCCTAGCTCTCTGCTTGGCTGATAATAGACACTTGAGCAAATTCAGGCAAGAAGGAAAGAGGGAAAGAAAAAGCCAAATGAATGATTCTGAGGGAAACTTTTCTGACAAGCCTAGATATGCAAAAAGAAAGGAAGGGGTACATCAATAAAGAAAGGAGGACTCTGAAGTCTGAAGGTTAATATTTTGGGCTTAATGCAGAAAAAGATGTCATCTATTCTGAAAGCTACAACTTCTCTACTTTTCTGTTTGAAAATAGCACACAAAAACTTACCTGTATTTGCCAACTTTCAGGACTTTCTTTGGGTAAATGAAAAATTACTGTCTTTAACCACAGTGCTAATTCTATTATACTTAAACCATTTACCTATAATTTTGCCTTTGGTTCTCATATTTTTTATGTGATATTAACTGATATATGGAGGATGGTTAAGTGTTGTAAAAAAATGGGTGGTCTTGAGCTGGGGCTATAGGTGG